GAGATTCCAGGTATTTCTTCCGAGTCAGGGAGAGTTTTCAGTCTTCCAGAGGTTCTTTTGAAATTCAAAATATTCATGGGTAATTGGGGGAGAGGACAGGTCTTACTTCTTTGCTCAGAGTCACTAACTTTAAGAACTGTTACATGTCAGTTGTTCTAGGCTCAGTCCCAATCACTAACCATAGAATCCTCAAGACTCTTTGTAGACAGTGTATTGGTTCCATCCCCAGCTTGCTGATAAGAAGTGGCTAACATGACTCACTCATTATAAATCATGGGACTAGAATCCAGACTAAGGTAATGATAAAGACCTGGTCTCATGTTTTCAAATGCATTCATGGAAACATTATTTATAAAAATGAGATATTGGAAAGAGTCTAAAATGTCAAATATTAGGAGAAAACTTGAATAAATTTGGTTCATCTAAATAATGCACTGCTATGCAGCATTAAAAGTGATGTTGACAAATAATTTGTAACAATGTGGGGAAATGATTATGGTATATACAGACCTACCTATATCTTGGTACCATTTCAATTTAAAATAGATACAGATATTTGGATATAGATACAAATGAAACCACTGAAATCTTGACAGTGGTTATGTCTAAGCTATAAGCACACATCAGAGAGGAGAATGAAGGGAAGAAATGAGCCTTTTCCATCTCAGCATGTGTCTATCCTGCACCCCACCATCACAACATCAAAACCCCAATTTCACATGGGGAAATGTAATAAAATACGAAACCAACCAGTAAATTTTGAAAGATATCACACTATTTGCCTTAAAACAGTGAAAAAAACACACTTTTTTTCCCATCAAAATGAAACCAAACTACAGAAAATCTTGAGAGACTTTTTACCATGGGAGCTTGTTTTCCTCTCAACATGACGGCAATTATGGGCCCACCCTTCCTCCTTGCTTTCCTCTCTCTCCTTCTCCCTCTTCACCCCCTCTCTGTCTCTTCCTCCCTTCCTCTATCTCTCTCTTCCCCTCTTCATTCCTCCCTTCTCTTTCTTCCCCTCCCCTCCCCACTCCCTCCCAATATCCCTCCCTTCCTCTGTCTTTGGTGCGTATTTTCCAAAAGGAGCATTTAATACTTAATCAGAAAAAAGCTATGAAAGCCTTTTGTATAAAAGAAAATGAGGGTGCTAAGACTCCAATCCAGGACTACTGGACTCCAAGTCCACTGCTCGTTCCAGTGATGTGTGGCTGGGGGAACAGGATCCAAGCTCTGAAAGAGTGGGCCTTGGTGGGAACAGGCTGGTGCAGGCAGATTTCTGTCCACAGCCCCACCTAGATCCCTGCCCTGTTCACAGCTCCACCAGATCCCTGCCCTGCCCCACCTAGACCTAGTGCCCAGTGGTCTGCTTCTGTTGCAGTTTTTGGGGCGGTATGAGACCCTCGTGTTCTACTGGCCCTCACTGCTGTGCCTGTCCTTCCTGCTGGGCCGCTTCCTGTACATGTTTGTCAAGTCTCTGAGGGTCCACCTGGGTTGGGAGCTCCAGACGGTGAGTAGTAAGTGTAAGCACTGTGTGTGTCCTGACGGGTTTATTCTTCACAACAGTCCTGTGAGGTAGGTACTATTATTACTTCTCCCATTCTGTGTTAGGAAACTTGGACCCAGAGGTGACTTGTGTTACCCAAGGTCACGTACCTAGTTTGTAACAGAGCCAGAACGGGAACCCAGACAGTCTGGTTGTTGAGGCTCTCTTTTAACCACCTTTCGGTCTGGCTGAGTGGCTCAGTTGGTTAAAAGCTCCCTCAACAGTGTGAGCTCTGAGCAACAGGGTCGATGCTTTGATTCACAGCCCGAGCTTAGCTGCCACTGAGCTGCCAGGTGGCAGGATGGCTCAGCTAATAATAATAATAATAATAATAATAAAATAAAATAAAATAAAAACACAGCTAATCACCTTTCTTCTTATTCTAATTCCTTGAAGTATAAAGTTAGGTTGTTTGTGATCTTTTTCTTGATGTAGGTGTTTACCCTATAAACTTCCCTCTTAGATCTGCTTTTGCTACATCCCATAAGTTTTGGTATGTTGTATTTCCATTTTCATTTGTTTTAAGGTATTTTCTGATTTCCCTTCTGATTTCCTCTTTAACCTGTTGGTTTAGGAGTGTATTGTTTAACTTTCACATATTTGTGAATTTTCCAGTTTTCTTCCTCTTACTGATTTCTAGCTTTGCGCCATTGTGGTCAGAAAGGATACTTGATATTTAAATGTGTTAAGACTTGTTTTGTGGACTACTATGTGATCTATCCTGGAGAATGTTCCATGTGCTCTTGAGAAGAATATGTATTCTGCTAATGTTGGATGGAACGTTCCAGATATGTTTATTTGGTCTATTCGGTCTATAGCGTTGTTCAAGTCAGCTGTTTCCTTACTGATTTTTTGACTTGATTATCTATCCGTTGGTGAAAGTATAGTGTTAAAGTTCTGTACTATTATCGTGTTGCTATTTATTTATCCCTTCAGTTCTGTTAATATTTACTTTATTTAGTTGCGTGCATATATATTTACAATTGTTATAGTCTCCTGAGGAATTGACTCCTTTATCATTAGTATACACGTATGTGCTGCCAAAGTGAGCAAACCCCTTTATCATTATGCAGTGACATTTTTTTGCCTCTTCTGACAGTTTTTGACTCATTTTGTCTCATATAAGTATACCCACTCTGACTGTTTTGGTTACCATTTGTATGAAACATCTTTTCCTATCCCTTTAGCTCAGCCCATGTGTGCCCTCAAAGCTAAAGTGAGTCTTAAGTAGCCTATATTTGGAATTTTTTTTTTACTTATTCAGCTACTCTATGGCTTTTGATTGGATAATTTAATCTATTTACATTTAAAGGGATTATTGATAGGTAAGGACTTAAAATTGTCATTTTGTTAATTTTCTGTTTTGTAATTATTCCTTCCTTGCTTTCTTTGTGATGTGATGATTTTTTTTGGTAGTGGTATGTTTTAAGTTCTTTTTCTTTATCTTTTGTGTATATAAAATAGGCTTTTTCTTTGTGATTACCATGAGGCTTATATAAAACATCTTATAGTTATAACAGTCTATTTTAAGTTAATAACAACTTACTTTAATTATAGAGTTTTTAATAGAAAAACTCTGTACCTTTACCCTCACTTTCCCCCATGGGAGAATTTGTAGGCCAAGGGGGTCTCTCTGTGCACTGAGGAGTGCCACCTTGCAGGATGTTCTTCTTACCTTCTTAAATGCAACTATTCTCAGAAATTTTGCTTGACTGAGGTTCTGGAACCTGCTAGGTGCACTCTTGGGCTCCCACAAAGGTACTCTCATCTGTGCGTGGTTGTCAAAATTGGTGTATCTAAGCGGGCACGGGGGCTGGAACCCCCCATTTTTCCATTTTGCTGACATCACTCACCAGTCAGGAGTCTAACCAGATCTTTTGTACTCTACCTAACATCTGCGATGTATAAGATTTCATCTCATAGCATGTAAAATTTACATATTCAATATATGTAGCAAACTAGGTAACTATCGTGGGATGCTCAGTACACTTGGAGAAAACATATCATTAAAGTTTACTTCCTTAAGTATTGCAAAATAAGAAATGAGCAAAAGAAACTCCTATTCATAAGAAGTGAAAACACTAGGATTTGGGGTGTTTCATTCATGAAACGATATTTTGAATTGATGATGAGAAATCACCAAATCTCAAAGAGAAAAGAGAGTTTTCACAGAACAATGACTGGTGTAATCAATTAGCAGAAATCAAGGAAGGCCAGCCCCCTGTCTGGCAGTCCATGAAAGCAAATGCCTGCTAAATAGGAGACTGGACCCTGCCCCTCTCTTCAGGAAATTACAGGTGTCCAGGAATGGCTGAATCCAAAAGAACAAGTTTTACCCAAATTCCTGCCCTCTGTGGAAATAGCCTCTCAACGAGACAAAAACCTACAACAATGTGTGACCCAGAGCATACACCTCTCTCTTTTCTCACAGGAAGAAAAGCCTTTCCTGGAACATCACCAGGCCGAGCACGTCAAACAGCTTCTGAGGAGGCCCCCCCTGCAGTAAGCCACAGTGTGACTCATTCACCATTGGTGTTTGCACAAATCCTGACAGTGTGAGAGACCCCGAGATGACTGGAGGGCACTATATTAGTCAGGACTCTTGCTTGCTAATAACAGAAACTCAACTCAAATTGGATTAAAGAGAAAAAGGAAACCTATGGCCTTGCAATTCAGCGGTTCTCAACCTGTGGGTCGCGGCCAAACGACCCTTTCACAGGGGTCGCCTAAGACCATCGGAAAACAAAAAGATATTTACATTACAATTCAGAACAGTAGCAAAATTACAGTTCTAGAGCAGCAACGAAAATAATTTTATGGTTGGGGGTCACCACAACATGAGGAACTGTATTAAGGGGTCGCGGCATGAGGAAGGTTGAGAACCGCTGCCTTACATAATTTAAAAATCTATAGTCAGGGTGGATCCAGGGGCTTAATTGATATAATCAAAACTAGATCTCTTTCCCACATCCCCTCTTAGCTCTGCTTTTATCTGGGTTAGACTCTTTGTTAGGCTCCCTCCTGATGGTGGGCCGCAGAATCTCTAAGTTTATACCTTTCTGGTTTAAACTCACGGGAAACAGACATTTACCTTTCTAATAATTCAAACAAAATTCCCATGAATATGTTTCATTGGATCAAATTGGACCACATGCCATCCCAGAACCAATTACTGTGGCTAGGGGATTGGAGAAAAGTGATTGTTATTCCTGGATCACATGTTTACCGCTGGAACCAGGAAATGAAATGGTTCAGCGTCACTTAACCACTACAAATGATAATGGGGGAGGGGTAGATTCCCAGAGAAAACTCTTATATTGTTACCAATAAAAGAGGATATGGCTTTTAGCTAGGCAAAACCACCTGGACTTCAGGGATCATATAGGTCACCCTACCCCTGCCACTACGTATGAGGGGACATGCCCAAGAGAAGCGATGTGTCTATTTAACGTTACACAGAGGCAAAGTTAGTATTTTCGTTAGAACTACATTTGGCTACATGTAGCAGAAAACAAAATAATTGTGGCACAAACAAGAGAGATTTATTTCTCATGTAAAAGAATTCTGGAAGCTGCAGTCCATACTGACCCTGTACTGCTCACCATGGAAGTTTACCAGTCATTTGTTTTTCTCCTCCAGTATCTTAGTAGTTTCCATCATGAAGGCTGTCATAGATTTTGGGGCTCCGGCCTGAACCAGCCACTATGTCAGCATTTCAGATGGCAGGCAGGAGAAAAGAAGGAAGGGCAATGGGGTCCCTTCTGGCTGTGTCAGTTCTATCTAAGCACCCTCCCCAAAGTCCCACACCATACCTCTGGTCATATCTAATCAGCCTGTATTTAATCTTGCTGTAACAGAGGTCAGGAGCTATAGCCTTTTAGTTTGGTGAACTGCTGTACCAAATAAAACTGAGTCTCTGTTCTTAAGAATAAGGGAGAATGAAAACTGGAATCTACCAGTGCTCTTGTTCTTCGCTAAACTCTAAGATGAAGAGGAGGAGATGAGGTTATTTTCAGAAGAATCAGGCATTTGTTTACCAACCACAACCCATCTTTTCTTGGTGTTTATTCATTCACAGGGAGAAAAAAAAGTCTTGGTTCCAAACCATGATATATGAGTGGGACCCCTGTTTTCAGTTCCCAAGCAGAATGATTGGAACCACTGTGTTGGCTTTCATCTGCTTGTACCTTGTAAGTAGATCTGAGCAAAACCTTTTCTATTTATAAATGGGGTGGGGCTAGGATAGGGGTTGTTATTAAAAAGCTAGGTCCAAATTTAATCACTAAGTCAAAGAGGTACAATTCTTTGACCCCTCCATTTTGACTCTGTGTATGCTTTTACCCACATGGTGAATACTATTAAGAAATATAATCAGATTATTTATAGAGACTTCTGGTTGCCCATGCCATGTGTAAAGAGCTTGCAAGATGCCATCCTAACAACTCCATCCTAACAACAAGTGAAAATATGAACAAACTGAAAAATCAGCAACTTTTCTTAGATCCATCAGAGAAGTGAGACCACAGGGCAAACCAGTGCCTCTAAAATTAGAGAGACAGAAGGTGAATATAGATAATCACAACAGAATTAAGCAGAAACTCATGGGAACTAGTGCTGGGGTAGGAAAATCTGAACTGTTGACAACATAAATCAATTGGATAATTTGGACATCCATAGACTATTTCATCAACCACAGTGGAATACACATTCTTCTCAAGATTCCATGGAAAACTCACCAAGATAGACCATATCCTGGACCATATAATAAACCTTAACAAATTTAAAGCACTAGAAATCATGTAATGTCTTCTCGAGATCACAATGGAATTAAACTAGAAATCAATAACAGAAAGATAACCAGAAAATCCCCAAATAGTGGAAATTGTTCAGTTCCACACTTCTAAGTAACATATGGGCCAAAGAAAAAAAATCTCAAGAGACATTAAAAATAGTTTGAACTAAATAAAAATGAAAACACAACTTATCAAAATAAGTGGGAGGCTGCAAAAGCAGTGTTTAGAGGGAAATTTATAGCATTGAATGTATATATTAGAAATGAAGAAAGGTCTAAAATCAGTAATCTAAGATTCTACCTTAGGAAACTAAAAAAAAAAAGAGCAAATTAAATGCAAAGTAAGCAGAAGAATAGATATAATAAAAATTAGAGCAGAAACCTATGAAATTGAAAACAGGAAATCAATAAAATCATCAATGAAACCAAAAGCTAGTTCTTTGAAAAGATCAAAATCAGTAAGACCCTAGCCAGACTAAGAAAAAATGAGAGAGGACACAAATTATTTATGTCAGAAATGTAAAAGGGAACATCACTACATATTCCATGCGCATTAAAAGAATAATTAAGGAATAGTATGAACACATCTCAGCCCACAAATTTGATAACCTAGATGAAATGGACCAATTTCTTGAAAGACACAAGCTACTGCAACTCACACAAGAAGAAACAGACAATCTGAACAGACCTATATTTATTAAAGAAATTGAATCAATAAGTAATGACCTTTCAAGCAGAAAGCACAGACCCAGATGGGTTCACTGGTGAGTTCTATGAAACATTTATGGAAGAAATTATACCAATTCTCTGCAGTCTTTTCAGAAGATAAATGCAGAGGGAATACTTTCAAACTCATTCTATGAAGCTAACATTATCCTACTATCAAAGACAAAAACATTATAAGAAATGAAAACTACAGTTCAATACCTCTCACGAATATAAATGCAAAAATTCTAAACAAAAGATTATCAAGTCGAATTCAACAATGTATAAAAAGAATTATACACCACAACCAAGTGGGATTTATTCCAGATGTGCAAGGCTGGTACAATCTTAAAAAACCAATTAATGTAAACAATCACATTAACAGCCTAAAGAAGAAAAAAATCACATGATCACATCATACTTTATGGTGAGAAATTAGAAGCTTTCCCACCAAGATCAGGAAGACGTCAAGGTGAAAGTGCTCTGGAAGTTTAGTGAATTATTCTAGATTGAGAAGCTGCCTGAAGATGATAGCATTTGAGCTCCACAGCCAGAGATCAACAAGATTCACTTGGTGAAGTAAAATGGCGGCAGGAATTTCAGAAGCAATAGCATGATGATGGGGGGCTTGATGGCATAATGACATGATGACAGGGGTGAGCAAGCATGATATGTGTATAGGAAACTGTACCTTCTCCGATTTGATTATCACCAAAATGCAAGAAGGGGAGTAGTGAGAGATATGGCTGAAGTTGTCCCCAAGGTCAGCACGTATTCAAAGTTAGGCATTCATTTCACTCTGATTTTATTAAGTTTGAAGAGTTTCTCGAGCCCTTGTGAGGACTAGTTTTATATGCTGTTGTGTGAAGAACAGAGTTTGGGGCGACTCATGTCTCCAAAGTTTGAAGTCACAGTCCCATTCATGTCGGTATATCCAGTGTCCAGAGTCTATGTTAGATGAATTTTCATATTCAGAGAGTTTTGACCTCAAAACCAAAGAGAACCCTGTATTATTCACATACTGAGCTGGACACAGGTGAGGCCTTGAAACATTTGCTCTGTGTCCGCAGTTCATTGTCATTGAGTTCTGCATGTTCATGTACGTGAGAGACGAGCTGGATGTGTTTGAGGGCAAGTTGGAAAGCTACATCACCTCCATGAACCAGACAGGGAGCCTGACCCCAGTCATCCTGCAGGTGAAAGAGCTGATGAATGTCACCAAAGGTAAAGCTGTCCTTGCACATGGGTGCTGTTTAACTAGGGATGGGTCACCACCCCACAAAGAGTGGCAATTAGAAACTCAACCATTAATGATGTTTTACAAGGGAGGAAGAGGCCTGTGATGTGTTTACTCCATAATTTTTCCCTTCCTGTGACTGACCGGATTGAAAATATTAATACCAAGAGAGGATTATGCAGGAAATAAAGTCTATCAAGGCTATGTGTGGCTAAAATGAAAAAGAAATCTAAACAACATTTTATTGACATAAGAAATATCTTAAAGGAAGAATATTGTTTTGCCCAAACCTTGCTGATCTTTTTCTGCATTTTGAAAATATTGGTTCTAGTTCATCTTATGAGGCCTCTCCTATCACTGTTTCTGTTTCAGGAGTCTGGGTAGTGACCATTTTGCCCGCCTTCCTCACGTGTGCGAGCTATCTGTTCCACATTTTGGCTTGTTACAGGTAAGAGGGCACTGGGAGTCACTGATGTGTCTTCAGCCAGAAGAGCACCTGGCAGAATTTTCTAAGAATGCCCAAGCAGTGTCAGCAGTGCCCAAACTGGAACCAGGAGTATACACAAGACCCAGGGACAACCACATCTATTGTTAATAAGAAAAAAAAACACTTGAGTTTTTGGGGTGCTGGCATTGCGAGGGGTCATAGCCCCTTTTTCCCCCCCCTTTATGTTGTGATAAGCTGGGACTATCATTAAAAATGGTTTTCTGTTTGTATTTGTTTTACAGTATTATTACATAAGTAATTCATATTCATTGTAGAAAAAAAATAGAGCAAAATGAAGAAAATACAAGCCACATACACAGCTTCAGATATCCCATTTAGTCATCATTAGGATGAGGCAACTATATATCATTTTTACAAAATATTTTAAATTTAAGGTAATCAGACCATCCCATGAGCGGTGGTCAGTACGGGGTGCTGAGCTGCCTGCCGTCTCCCTCCACAGGCCTTCTGTTTATATCTATTGGGTGCTAAGTGCATGAGGAGCCATGAACATTACTATTTCTCACTTTTTCTCTAGAAAGCACATTAAGAGGTTGTGGGCAGGAAATAAACACTTTCTCCCCCTGAAGTTCCATAATCCGTCTTCAGCCGAGAGTGTGGTAAGTCTATAGAGGCCTCTCGCTGCTCTGAGACTAAGCGATTTACCAAAACCTGCTCTCCTGCACCTCGGACAGGGGCAGCGAGCTGCGGGAGGAGAGCAGCGGCCTGGGAGTCCAGAGCCCTCAATTCTAGTATGCTCTGCTGCTGGGTGACTCGGGACAGTCCCTGCGCCCATGCGGCCCTCAGCTGGTTTCCTCATCTGTAAAGTGAGGGTAATCAGTCCTCTTGCCTCAGTGGGTTGGTGGGCGAGTCTCAGATGAGACAGGAATGATGGGTACGTCTCAGAGGCAATCAAATTTTCCTCCCCTCTGAGTCCCCTTTTTCTTTTTAAATCTCAGGTGGCCATTGCAAGGTACTCTGGTTGGCAAATCGCCTACATTCTGTGGGGTAAGTGCCATCACATGACCCAATGCAATTCAACACAAATTTCCTGGGCACCTGCGGAGTCCCTGTGTGGGTAGGGAGGAGAGGGGAGGACGAGGCAGCCCTAGCTCCTGCCCTCGAGGGACCTTCCTTCCGGAAGGGGGAGGGTCATCGTCACCACCTGTCCTGAGCCCTCAGGGTGTGTATACTAAGGGCGGTGGTGACTCAGAGGAGGAAGTGACAGTCCACACCCTGGGCAGGGTATGAGGCCTTTCCGGTGGAGTTGAACTTGAGCTGCACCTGTCAGGGAGAGCAGGAGTTCAGCAGGAACAAAAGGGAGGGCGTGCGAGGCAGAAGAAACGGCATAAGCAGAAACGCCAGGACCTCTGGTGGGAGGCGGCTAGAGTGGGGGCTGTAGGCACAGAGACTTGTGGGACTGGATCACCAAGGGCCTTGAGTGACGCCCGCTCCCTTGGCCCGCAGGCTACCTTATCATCCACGTGGTACAGAGCCTGTGTGGCATGATGATCACGTACGGCCTGGTGTTGCCTGTCATCCACAACCGGGGCCTGGAGATGCTCCACGGACTGGGCATCGGGATGTAAGTGCTGGGAGGGGTGCTGCCTGTCACGGCCCAGCGCCTGGGAGCTGGTGGGCCCTTAGGGCTACTGTTCAAAATGCCCCCTTCACACCAACCCTTGGATGTAGGCTCTTAGCTCTGACCCAAACATCGGCCCCAAATAACAGCTCATTGTGATAGGAACCTTACAGTTTACAAACTATTTTCACTCTCACTGTTCAGCAGGGTCCTCACAGTTGTGTCTGTGGGGGATACACATATGTTCATTTGATAGCTGGGAAGATTGAGGTTGGGGGAGGTGAAGTGAGAGACAGGACAGTATAGTAGGAGAGGGAATCTGAGCTTAGGTTTTAGATCAGCTGTGTGACTTGGGTAAATTGCTTCTTTGAGCCTCAGTTTACCCATAGGGAAGATAAAAGTGAATGCTGACATTATTGAGAATTCACTATGTATCTTTTCTCTTAAGAACCCTTGGAGGTAGGGACTTATATCAGCTCCCTCTTTTTCAGACGAGGAAACAGAGGCACAGAGAGGCTAATTTGTCCAAGGAGAGGGAAGAGGAAGGCTTGGGATCTGGGCAATCTGAAACCAAAGCCCCATTTAACCACTACCCAACCCTGCCGCTCAGTGGTGCTCTCTGGGGCCCTCCCTGCTCCGAGCTCCTGGCTTCCATACTCACCTTGAGTCAGCCTTGAGTCTAGAGCAGAGCCCACCCTGTCCACTCTTGCATGGCTGTCACAAGCTCTTCTAAAAACCCCATTCCTTTTTTTGATTCCCATGCTATTAAACCACTCATCCCAGTTGCCGTCCCTGGACAAAAGGGCATAATTCAATCCTGGAATTCTGGTCTGGAACCAGAAGACCTGACCATGTGGCTTTGAGAAAGTCATCTCCCCTTTGGGAGCCTTAGTTTTCTTATCTGCACAATGGGTGTGCGAATGTTCTGTAGGTATAAAGCACAGAGCTCATGCTACTGTTGGTCTGGCAAACCGTCAGCATCTCACTCCTCTTTCTCACTGGGCCTTTGAGAAGGGCTGGGAAAGAGTGGACAAGGCCACCTCAGGATGGTCTCGCCCTGTGTTTCAGCCTCACCGTATCCATCGTCCTGGGTCTCATGATCCTACAGGTCTGGATCGCCGCCAGCTTCTTCCTGCAACCAAAGATGGGCACAGCTGACAAGCAGAAGCCCTTGGCACTCAACAACAGGTGAGGGCAAAGGGGGGGACTGGCGAGTGTAGGACTTGGGTCTCAGCAGTCTCACTCCTCCCTCTTCATCACTGGCAGATTCCTGGGCAAACTATGCTCTCTGAGGGGGTGGTTTAGGAGTGGGCTCTGGAGACAAACTGATTGGATCCAAATTCTGGCTCCACCTCTCAGGAGCTATGTGACCTTGCGTGACCTTACTAAACACCCATGAACCTCAGTTTCCTTGTTTTACAAATAATTGCATATACCTTGAAGAGGTGTTCTCAGGATGAAATGTGTTCAAATAAGAACTTAGAACAATAGTGCCCGGCCTGTGATAATCCTTCCTAATTCATTTATTCAAAGTTGCTCACTCATAGAGAAAACAGCATGGGCACTGAGGATAAAGAGATACCTCCACAGGACCTGCCTATGAGAAGCTCATGGTCCACTGGAACTGACAGACACAGATATAGAGGGACAGTAGACTCCAGAGGGTGTGAAAGAATTACAGAGAAACACAAGTAATGGAGGAGAGGCAGGAGTGGTCAATTCCACTGTAGGTTTGAGCTGAGGTCGGCAGGGTGGTGGGATGCCTACAGGTAGATGTGAGGAGAGGGCATAGCTGATAGCCTCCACTGCACAGATGAAGTCAGAAAGCCATGTTGGAAGAACAATGAGAATCCAACATGGTGGCATGCAGTGGCTTTAGATGGTGAGGGGCACAGAGGGGGCACAAAGTAACAATGCCAAAAGGCCCCTCTCAAAGACGGCTCAGAAATTCAATACACAAAGTTTGGGCTCTATCCCACAGGCTACAGGAAACCACCAGGTCAAGTGTTCACTTGGGTAATTTCATTTGGAGGACTTGAAGCAGTTCCAGTTGGGGGCAGGTCTCTGTTCCAATAGACAGTAGGAAAGTCACAACCTCTGCTCCAACCCCCAAAACCAGCTGTGGCCACATGAGATTTCTTATACAAGAAACCTCAACCCAAGGATCCCATCAAACATTACAGTTACCACTGACGTTTGTCCTGCACTATGCTCAGAGCCCTCTACATACCACCTGAGCCTGTCCTCATGCCAGTGCTGTGAGGTAGGGACAGTCAGCTCCCACTTACAGCATGGAATCTCACAGCTAGGAGCCGGGAGATGAGGCTTTGACCATAGGTCTGGGGGCCCCTGAGCCTGCCTGCCTGCCTGGCCACCTTCTCACACTGCCCCTCTGCCTGCTTCCGTTTGCAGGAAAATGTTCCACAACTTCAACTATTTTCTGTTTTTCTACAACGTGCTGCTGGGCCTGGGCGCCTGCCTCTCCAGGCTGCTCATCAGCTGCATCCTGGGCACGTGGCTGATTGCCCGCATCGACAGGACCATCATGCAGAATGGTTATGAGAGAGCGGACATGGGTAAGTGACCAGCCCCTGGTGGCCATGCATCTAGGGAGGGCTGGACTTGCTACCTTTGTAGAAGCGGCCTAGAGGCCTAGAGTTCACTCTTCACTTAAGCTTAGAGCTTATCTCCCCAGGAAGGCTATAAAGCTGAGTAGGAAAAACAAGCAAACAAACATTCAGCCCAATGATCAGAAGAAATCCAGGCTACTAAATACCTGCATATTTGACAGACCTCTGAGGTATAATGGTGGGCAGTAAGAGGTCGTGGAATTCTGTCTGAACAGTTAGAAGATAATTTATGAATGCACAGCTCTGCACATTTTGAGAAAGGACGCATCTCAGAATTACTGGTTGTTAGTTGGAAACTTAGTTAAGAAAACAGTGTTCAGTTGAAATACTAAAAAATCAAAGCCATTTTTGTAAAGCAAAAATAGTTTTTGTTCTGTTTCTGGCCCATGCCCATTCATTCACTCATCCATTCATTATATGACTAATGGCTTCTCCGTACTGGCCACAGTGGCTCCTAGCTCCTTTGATCTTCTGGTTCCCCATAAAATGGACAGATGAGAATGTGATCTCTAAGAACCCTCTCAGCTCTTTATACCTAATTTTCTAGATTCTCAGCAAAGACATGGGCACAGTTTAGGAACAAAGTGATGCTGCAGTTATGTCATAAAAAGCACAGGCTGGGGCCATCCTGGGATGTGCTGCATGGCCTCACTTGTCTTCTGGATTTCAGGGTTCAGTGCATGGATTGGCATGCTCTATGTGGACCATTATCATACCAACCCCGTGCTCGTCAGCTTTTGTCACATCCTGATCACAGGCCACAGGGAGAGGAGGCTGCAGCAGGCCATCAAGTATGGGTACCTAAATCAGTCATCAGGTAAGCCTCCTGTTTGAACCTACCCTGGGGTTGGACACCAGGAAACAAGACCCCTAAGGCTTCCCTGGGATCCCTGAGATGTCCCAGGTTTCCCCTTCCCTGTTCCCCTGCCTCCACACTCCATGCCTTGGGAAATTACCCGGGAGATCAGGAGGCTTAGCCCCCAATCAGCCTGGCGATGGGACCCCTGAAACCTTATGTTCTTGTCCTTCTATTCAGGTTCATCCCTTGTTCCCAGAAATGAGCTCTACTTCTGCTATGTCCTCCATTCCACCCCCCCCCCCGCTTTTTTTTTGAGACCCCACCCATATCTTAGGCTTCAGACCAGATGCTCTCCAAGGTGGCACTCAGTTGTTTGTATCACAGCTCTCACAGCCACAGCTCTGGCCCCTCAAGGCTCTATCCACCTACTCCCACCCTTATTATCCTGCTCTGCCTTCTGCTGGGAAGCCCCCATTTAGCCATGTCTTGTCAGCACCGATCTGGACTGTGTTCATTACTGCAGATACCCAGCTCTGGAACAGACTCACATCCCTCCAGCCATCCTCACGTCCCCAGGAGTCCGGGTGCAGCTGCTTTTCCCACTTTTATCCCACACCTCACCCCTCCCAGGCAATTTTTCTTATAGCCTCTGAGAAGGACAGAGACAGCTGCCCTCTACCCCCAGTCTACCTGCTCTGATTCTATCCTAGGTCCCCGCATCTCAGCCAGGTCCAGGACGAGGTGGCTCCTGCTGCAGACCCTGATCAACAACCCCAACCTGGTTATGCTCAGAAAATCAAAATCAGGTCATGGCTCCCAGGAGTTTACCCAGATCCTGCTGACGTGCTCGGAGAGCTGACGCTGACCTCTAACACTGCTCTAAGGCCATTCCAGGATGACTGCCCCTGAGAGAAGGCCCAGGCTGCCCAGCAGCTGCCCCTGCAATGTCATGGGATGCACAGCCACTGTCCATGTAGATGGCGCACAGCACCAGCTGCTCATGGGACGGCATCTGGGCTGAACAATGATGCCTCGGAACTAATTCACTCCCTTGGTAAAAAGATCAGGAACCAAAGAGAATTTCTGTTGAACAAACTGTGCCCTATCATGATTTCTACTCTCCATGGTTAGGAGGCAGCCTTGGAGAGTTCCATGTTGAGAAGCACCTAGTTTGATCACAAGGCAGAACTTTGTGTCACTGAAGGAGGTGGTAACATTTCTATATCAGGAGAGTTCAACCATCTGATGCAATTCTTCTGTGGAAGAAAGTATGACCTTAAATCAACAGGGTCCTCATCATTGCTTCCTCCTTTCCAAGCCTTATGGTGATGGGAGGAAGGAAATCCTTGATCCAGCCCCCAACCTGATAGGGTGGGCAGGCCCACACTGAGCTGTCCCTGCCGTGGCCACGGGGATGAGGAGCGGATCAGACCTGACCTGGGCCTTGGTCACAAAGATGTACACATTCTCTCTGGCCAGGGGGAATCCCCTGGGAAAACCACCTGAGGCGGCAGAGACAGGGTGCACAGGCATTCTAGTTGGTGGACAATAAGAGCAAAGGGCAGGGGCAGGACAGGCCCAGGCATGTTTGAGGAGGGAAAGTCCTCTGGTGTCTGCAGTGCAGGGTGTTGGGGGCTGGTGAGGCCACCCAGGGAGGCCCAGATGCCAGGCTGGGGAACCTGGACATTCCTCTTTGTGCAGAGGGCCCAGTACTTACCCAAATTCTTGACACCTGAGCATAAGGTCTCTGATGGCCCGGGACCTGTACAAAGTCTGACCATTCAAAGTCACTCACGAAGCCTTTGCAAGTGCCAGGAGGACCCACCAGCAGGATGCAGGAAGTCCCCGTCCACCTCACAAAGTCATGGAATTTCAGCAGTTATTAGTGAGCACCTACTGTGAATCCAGTCCTCTTGCTAGGCATGTTGGCCAGGCTTATTTCTTATAACTTAATCTCCACAACTGAGTTTGTCATTCTGCTTTTAGAAACTGAGAAAACTCGGACGCAGAGTGTTGGGAGCCCCACACCACCACTTCCTAGCTGTGTGTCATTGGTTAAATTAGTTAGCCTTTCTGTGCTTCCTTTTCGCAACATAAAAAGAGGGGTGACACCTGCAACACCCCAAATTATTTTAAGGATAGAATATGTTAACACATACAAACACTCCTAAGCTAGTGCCTGATATATCCTAAGCTCTCAATAAATATATTATTTTGCTATTTGTAATATTATTGCTATTGGTAATGTTACACTTTGTGGTGATCTGCTTACTACTATCTGCCCTCACTATACTCAGCTCCGTGAAGAAGGGGACTTGTAATGGTCTTCCCTGAGGTAGTTTTCATGCAAATTACTGCTGACTCTCCTCTGGACCTACACCTATCAGCCCCATTTGCTTCTAGACATATTAGAAGATGGCCCAAGAAGTCACCTTGGCTAGCAAGGGAGAGTGTGGGGTCTTTCTATGGCCAAGTATACGGACCCTTCTCCTGGCAAAGCAGAGCTCATTCATGATCCAGCCATTAAGTCCCAGCTAGGAAGGAGTGACCGCGATGTCCCTGACAGGCTGGGGTCCTCTAGGAGATTTCTGTCATTAAAAGAAATGTATGAGGAAGTGCTGGATTGCTGGAAATCTTGGTTCATAGGTGGTGTGTTTGTGGAATGAGGCCCAGCTGTAGCCTTAAAAGGTGCATCATCCATCTTTCCCCTGGACGTGAAACAAGCAGGAAAAGGAATTCAGAGGTCATGGACCAGGATCCCAGGAGGATTCAAATCTAGGTAGGTAAAGGGTGATCATGGGCCCTACGGGGGGACTAAGGATGGACAATC